GGGATTGCATACCAAGAGGAAAAACAGTTACAGGATAAACCAATAATTGCATAAAAACTTAGGCAAATGCAAGCACAAAAAACAAACTTTGTTTCCAACAGGAAGCCCGGGTGAACGCAAATATGCGTCTAGTTATTAATTGAAAGGGAAATTTTGAAATAAGCGAGCCAGCAAGTAGCAACAGAAGAACCAAACAAAGATTTGTAAACATGCTAAATGACGTAATTTACGTTATTATAACATGAGCAGAAACGAAAATCTTCACGAATTGGACTATTCGAGTTTTGACGGTTTTCACGCTCAGTTAGATTACAAGATTACGAATGAGCCTAAGAATTGGGGAGAAACACTCGTGGGAAGAAACATAGCAAACACAGGCGGCCCAAGCTCCAGCTGTGAGATGATCATCTTGCACAACAGCCATGGCGTAATTATACGAGTTTGTATGAGAATATTTACGACCGCTCTAAGAAATAAAACAATACATCAAATTCTCAATAAAAATAACACACCTTACTTTCATAGCTTATCACTTGTTATCTGACCGTTTACTTTAACCATTTCGAGGTTTTCAACTTACATAAGAAAAGCTTTTCTACATTGCGACCATTCTACATTATACTGAGCCATTTCACGCAACGCTACACCGTTTGTGCGTACGCTGTGCTATTCGACATTACCCTAAGCCATTTCACGTCACGCTACACCGTTTGTGTTCTGTGTTGCAAATGAGTGCTAAGCTAATCGCAATTGAACTAGTCCATTTCACAATTTCATGTTCCAACTCGACATGGGCTACTAGACCGTTTGTCATTTGGCGAAACTATTCATTTTTAGCCGGGGTGTTTTGTTTCATGAAGGAAAACTAAACCATCTATAATTTGGCCATGCCATTTGTAACTGCTTCCGTTGAAGGTTAGTGTTACCGCTTCCGAGAAAAGCTACGAAATATTTTTTGGTTAGGTTGATGCCCCCGTGATTTGTTCTCTTTAGGCAGAAAAATTATAGAATGTGTTTCAGTTCAAGATAAGACCCCGTGTGATCAAGATCGTTTTGAATAGAAGACAAGTTAGACTGTAATCCTCGATAAAGTAATCAAGACCCGCGAACGTTGGTAAGCAATAACTTGTTTTGTGATTATGTTATCTAGCTCGTAGTCGTTACACAAAGTAAAATTTATCGCTCGTTTTTTACCTTTCCTTTGATTCCTTTAATTGCCACGTGCTCGTTTCCAAAATCGAGATTATTCTCAAGCTATGATCATAATACTTAGGTGATTTCTTTAAGTAATAATTTCAGTTGACCGCTTCGATATAATAACGTCCCAAGGAATAGGAAAAGGAATAAAGAAAGAAAACATCCTTAATTTGGTTTGGTGTTTATCGCATGCGCGTGTATCAACCCGGGAATCGAATTTACAACTCTAGCTTGAAAGGAATCATTTACACCATTCCTTTATTAGCTATGCTATCCCGCAGCTGATCCTTAGACCAGCTTTTTATTTGCTAATCTATTTGACATCCTTGACAAGAAAACTGATATCCTTGACCGTTTTGACATTTTTCAATTAAAGTGACTCGTTAGAGTGCTTTAATAGAAAGCGTTATTTTGGCACATCGATTAAAGCATTCCCATGTCACCTACACCCAAAATCCAACTTCTCACGTACTCCTGCAATTTTTAAGAAGTCGTTGAAGTTAAACTCTTATTTGAAAGTAAGCGCGAGTCAGAAAAGAAAAGAGAGCTCGAAAATCGACATTTAATGCACGTCATAAAATTACTTAATGCTATAAACACTGAGGCTTACCGACGCGCACAAACTGTGGTAAACCGGGCGGCCGACAAACCGTGGTAGAATTCAGTTTCGTTGCTATTTCAATTCACACTTTTATGCACGATAACGAATAAATAAATTTCCGCGCAGCCCCATACTATTGTAAATCTGTTTTCCCAATGGCAATGTATTTTTTTTGTTATTGTTTTTGTTATTGTTTCTCTAACCAAGAACTGAATGCATAATGTAGTATGGGGCTGTGGGGAAATTTTACCAATAAATGCAATATCGGTAGAGAAAAAGAGGACAAACTTACCGAAAAGTTATGAATTGGCTCTGCTTTAGATAGATAGATAGATAGATAGTTTATTATCAAGAACCTTGCAGCCATAGGCTGAATTACGTTTGATTTACAATAAAATATATACTACAAAAAATACATGGCTAAGAAGAACTAATTAAAAAGACAAAAATATATAATTAAGAGAAAAACAATATTACATCATTGCTTTATGGACATAGTGATGGATAAAACTATTTCGAGTACGAATGGTGTGGAGGCGCCGTGTAGTAAAAGAGTGCTGACTCCTTAAATTGACTTCGCACTCATTCTTGGGAGGTAGTAAGCTATAGAGCTTGTGCGAGGGATTAGACAGGATGGAATTAAAAAGCTTATCACATAAGAACTCGCGGCGGTTGTGTAAGGGAACTAGACCAGTCAAAAGAAGCGCCTCATTGTACGAACAATCTGGATAGATAATACGTAGAGCTCGCCTTTGACATCTCTCAAGATCTACTGAAAGGTATTGCGGGAGGCTATGATGATAAACAGGGCATGCATATTCAGTGACAGGCCTAATACAAGTCAAATAGAAGAGCAAAAGCTCCTCCGACTTGACCTGTGCACGCTTAAGCTGACGCAAAAAATACAGGCGCTTGTTTACTTTCTTTACAACTTCGGATACGTGATTATTCCACGTAAGATCGCAAGATATCTGCAAACCTAAGATCTTTGCTTGCTCTACACACTCTAAGTCCTGATCATTAACCTTAATTGGATCAAAGTTCTTTCTAGAGTGACTGAATGTTATGCGCAGTTCCTTGCACTTGGTTTCATTTAATTGGAACTTGTCAGCAGAAGCTTGCGTCGCGAGTTCGTCAACCGCTTGTTGGACTTTGCTGACCTCAGACTTCATGACTGTTTCAGAAATAGTGGAGTCATCGACATATTTCCACATGTCTGTACCCGGATGATGAGGTCGTTTATCATAATAGTAAATAACCAGGGGCCAAGTTTTGTGCCCTGTGGGACCCCTGATGGGATGGCCCCCACCCGAGTAACAGTCCTGACTAAGTTTAACACGCTGTCGGCGACAGGACAGAAAGTCCACTATCCAGTCAATTATTCCGCTTGGAAGATCGTATGAAATGAGCTTCTGAACTAGGATCTGATGGTCAATAAGGTCAAACGCCTTGCGGAAGTCAAAGAGGATGGTTCTGACAGTTGCACCGTTCCCATCCGTAGCACTAAGCCATGAGTGGACCATGCTTATTAGTGCTTGTGTCGTACTGGAACCTGGCACAGTCCCAAACTGCCGTACATCCACTTTCGCCAACACAACAGGCTTGAGGAAACTCTCCACGACGAAATCTTCAGCAACCTTAGAAAGCACGGGAGTTAGGGATATTGGACGTAGATGTTTGTTTACATCGTGTATTGGATTCTGCTTTGGTACTGGAGTGATGTTAGCGTCCTTCCAAGACTGAGGCAACCGTGCTTCCTTAAACGAACAGTTAAGGATATCAGTCACAGGCAGTGCTAGTAAATCTGCATTCTCTTTAAGAAGCCAACCGGGGATTCCGTCCGGACCGGTTGCCTTAGTTGGATTTAAGGCGGATAGCTTCTTTAAAACAGAGAATTCTGATACCTGGAGAGCACTCTCCTGGTCAGAGTTGGTTGAGGTGTTAGGTGAAAGGGGGGTGAAGACGCGCATAGGAGCCAAGAACGCCTGGTTGATGGTGTTAGCAATGTCTATCGTGCTTGGAGGCGAACCTCCCTGACCACAATCAATATGTTGGTAGAGGGTAGCTGGATTAACGCCTCTAGAAGCTGCGTCTGACGTACCACTGAGCTTCTTTACCTTCGCTTTACGGCGAAGTGTAGAGTCAACAACTTCTTCACAGCGACTACAACAGGAAATTGTTACGAACCAATGTTTACATTCGATGACGTCATGCCCCCCAGCTACTCCATTTGCGGTTTGAATTTTTGGTGGTTTTGGCGAGATGCCAAGCTAATCGCAATTGAACTAGTCCATTTCGCAATTTCCTGTTCCAACTCGACATAGGCTACTAGACCGCTTATCATTTGGCGAAACTATTAATGTTTAGGGTGTTCTGTTTCATGAAGGAAAACTAAACCGTCTATAATTTGGCCATACCATTCCTTTATTAGCTATGCTATCCTGCAGCTGATCCATAGACCAGCTTTGCATTTGCCGATTTGTTTGACATCCTTGTAAAATTTGTGGTGACGGCCGCCCGTAGACCTGCATAATTATGCAAGTTTTTTCCCGCGCTTCCTATGTCTCATGGGATAGCGTGCTTCCGGGTTAATTTTACTGTTGCCATTCGTGATCTCAAGAACACATCATGGCGATGTCATCAAATTTTTCACGAGGAACACGCGATCAAGTGAACTGATTTACACCTCCAAATAGGTGAGAGGGATCGCTGAACAATCTATTCTATATTAAGCTATGACATACTTTACGTGGCCGCCTATTCGGCTTGCTCGTTTTTGCACGAAGTATCGGCTAGGCAAATAGGCGAAGGAGCATTCGGTGTACGAGCGATTAAAATAATAGAAAGTTCTTGAGGATAAATGCATCAATCATGGTAAAAACTTCTAGTAAAATTTAAACGGCATGTAGTTTGATGGCCTTGGTTGGAAATATGAAGAGATGAGATCTCATACCTTGGACTCAATACCAAGGGTTGTAAGATAAGCGAGGAGGCTTTAACGAGCGCTTACAAAATGTAGGACGAATTTAGTTGGGTCGATCCAAACATTTTTTATGGTGCAAATGAAGCAATATTATGCTCCAAGACATGCCTTTGTATGTACATAGGCTAGCCTAACTACACTACTTCTAATGATTGCTGCTCTTATTCTGAAATGGGAAACCCCGAGGTGATATAAATTAAATAAGTAATTATTTTTTTGATGGAGTGGAATGGCGCCGGTATACGATTGTATTCAGCTCTGTGAAAAAAAGGTGCATATCATTTTGTCAAAATGGGTTGAAAAAACGATAGAAGTTTTATTTTGTAGTTTGGCATACTTTTCTGATTTTAAGATCTTATTTTTGTGTTTCAAAATGAGTGAAATTTCTCCTAGGAACAAAAATATAACGATTACAATTTTCTTTCAAGTAACGGAACATTGACAAGGAAGCTACATATAGCTGGAAACAGCACGCTCTTGCATCTTATACCCTAGCCTACTGACAACAGGAAACATGTTTAGTTAAACCAGGTTTAACTAAATAAAAATTAGAAAAAGAGAACTAAACAACTGAGTTTTCCGTTGGATTTAAGTAATTGTTAATTTGTATCTTTAATGTGCTATATGTATAGTTGACTCAAAGTGCTCTAAGCAGAGGCTGCCTTTTATTAAGAAAAGTATAATAAGCCATGTTTAAAATGCATTAAGACATTTGTAGGCTTTGGTGTGAATGAAGTATTGGGGAAATTTCATAGAATTTCAGAACATTTAATTGGTTTAACCGATTGAAAAAAATGGAATTAAAATACTGTTACTCTAGGCTCCTGCCTACTCATGGGAGTTTTTAGTGAACTACAAATAAATTTATGACATTTTGATTTAATGAACTTTTTCTGTGGGAACTAATATATATGAATCAAAGGCAATCATACAATTATGAAATCATTTGTAAACTTTTTACAGTACATTATCTGAATAACCAAGCTGCCCTCATGAAGATTACCTTTTTGACTGAGGAATGGACTCAGTCAACCAAAGGCAGTTGTTCCACCTTCATAAGACAGATGGCTATAGAACTCTCTACACTAGAAAATGTAGAAATTGGTATTTTAATTCCAAGTGCCAGTCCAGAGGATAAAGAAGATGCCCAAAAATACAACATCAAGGTTTTTGAACCTGAAAAAATTCCAGGCTATGAACCAGTTAATTGTCTGCAGTTTCCTCCACAAGGATTTAGCACTGACTTTATCATTGGTCATAGTATTGAGCCTGGATGTCATGGACAGGTCCTTAAGTATAACCTTGGCTGTAAATGGGTGCATGTGGTCCTGAGAAATGCAGAAGAAACAGCAATGTTCCAGAAAATCCCAGGTGCCATTTCCAAAGGGCAGAAACAGCATGAAACTGAGGTAGAATTGTGTAAAAAGGCTGACATGGTTATAACAGTTGGCTCCAAGCTCAATGAGACCTTTTATTCTGCTCTGCATCATTGTAAGGAAGATCATATATTCAATCTTATACCTGGCATTTTTTATGAGTTTTTTGGAGAGCAGAAGCAATTCCGAAATTCAAAGAACTTTGAAATCTTAGTGTTTGGCAAAGGGAACGCTGAAGACTTTGAACTAAAAGGTCTTCATGTTGCTGCCAAAGCTGTGGCACATCTCAATAAGTATGAGCCATCATACATTCTCAAAGTTGTAGGTGCCCCTGAGGGAGAACAAGAGAAACTGGCTGGGAGGTTGGAAGATCTTGGGATCTCTCGTAGTCAACTGATTGTGAGAAGTTTTTACAAAGAAAGAAGAAAACTGGCTCAGCTATTTTTGGAAGTTGGTCTTGTTTTGATGCCTTCAGGTACTGAGGCATTTGGTCTCACAGCTTTAGAGGCATTGTCAGCGGGTGTACCAATCCTTATTACCCATAATTCTGGCTTGGCAGAGGCTCTAGAGGAAGTACCTTTCGGGTGCAGATGCATAGTAGATCAAGCAGATGATTGGGCTGACCAAATCAAGCAAGCACGCAAACATCTGAAAACTGGATTAGTAGAGGCAAGCACACTACGTGACAACTATAAAGACAAATACTGTTGGATGGACCAATGTGCTGCTTTGGTGATGAAGCTTAGGGCCTTGCATTCAGGTAAAAATGTTAACTTTATATGCATTTACCTGCAGTATAATAATTAAATAAGTACCTGGCAGCTAGTTGGCACAAATCTGTTTATCATTTTGAAATTGGCACAATGATTAGAATTAATATAAGGGTGAAATAAAAAAGGTAGACATAAATTAAGGGCTATTTTGATGGTTTCTGTGCAATTGAGATCATTGCTGATATCAGTACAATATGTATGTTTCATAGTGCAAAGATGTTTTGATTTTTATGTGTTCAAAGCCACCAAACCTTAAAATGGACATAGAAATTACACCAGATCACAATCTTGCTACAAAAATATGCAACAAGTACTAATCAGTTACTTACAAGGCCTAACACTGTAGCAGGTTTCACCTCCTTAGTTCCATTGTAATGATATGAGTTGAAGTACAGCTGCACCAACATGTGTTACTCAAGACATGTGGGGCTTAGATGAATGACAGTCACATTGATATTTTGATTAGTTGTCTTTGTGTAATTTGTGCTATTTGTTTATCGACATCTAACAGGACATGCTGAGGAAATGCAAGAGGAGTCCCAAGGCAAAAGGCATTCAGCTCGAAAGCGAGTGGCTGGTAATTACTTGCTTGTCTATTTTTTAAACATGCCCTAGTGTTGTCAACAAATTGCATCCTTTTAATATTGAGCAGGTACAAAACAATTTAACAAAATCAATGTACAAATATTTTGGACTTTCTTTGAATATCAAAGAACACAATTCCTGGACAATGTAATGTCATAGTCATGACAATTTTCAATGTGAATACCCTAATAGGGGTATTTACATTTTCTGACAGACCCTACTGAGGATTCAGACCTGTTTGAATCAAATGCAGATTCTTCTTACATATCTGGAAAGCAAAGAAATAGTGACTTAGTTTTAAGATGAAGGAACTGTGTTACTTTACATTTGTTGGAGATCTGTGGATTTTTTTCTTGTTAATTGTCCATCAGATTGCTTTTACATCAGTTCCAGGGAAATTTTTATCTTACTTAAGACACTGTTGTTACAAGGTGAACAACAACCTAATTTGTTAATTATAATTTTAAGGGGCAAAATCCATATATGGAGACAAAAAGAGAGCACTGAAGGCTTTCTTTCCCCCTGCACTGACCAGGAGCCTGGAAAAGGCTAGTTCCTTTTTTAAAAATTGTTTTTAAATGCTGTTGTAATACTTCAATGGAATAAATCTTTAGATGAGTGATTTTCTTTACTCATTGCATGTGGGTTCATGAAGAAGTAAGCAATTGTAGTTTTAAGATTGAACACCAACTGACCTAGCACAGGCAAATATTAATGCATGCATGCCGGTTATTGTTTCACATCCTGAAGGAAAAGTTTGTTGGAGTTATGACATTTGAATAACAAGCATAAAAAAATAAGGAGATAATATTATTGATAATGAGAGGAGTAGTTTCTTTAGTTCTGTGTAGTTATGGTTTTTGTGTTTTCTTTTTTTTTATCAGTTTCATGTTCTGTTTTTATATTTGAATGTGTGCCATTATTTAATTATGCTGAACTATTTTTTAAGGTGCATCTGTGGAAATTGTTCCAAAAAAGCCAAGAACTCAACCTAATAAAAAAAAGAGTGGTAAAGATAATACAGGGAAAGGTAACTTATTCATAAAAAATAACCATTATTATATAGTGTAGTTTCAAGTCAGATTAAATCCTAGCATAGGATCTTGTTAATATATATAATTCTGTTGCTTCCAGATTCCTAAAAATGCAAATGGAAGGGGGGTAGTTTTAAGACAGGAACCAACTGTCAACAAGTCATCAACAGTATATAAGAGAAATCTTTAGCAGACATGTTTTGCTTACCTACTTATGTTGTATTATATTAGAGACAAAGTTTTACAACTGATGTATGGGTAATTGACTTTGGCTTTCTTTTGGCTTCGTTTGGTGTTCTGTAAAAGCTGTGAGAGAAGTTGTCATTATTTTTAAACAGACAAATCCAAGAGCTTTTTAATCACTTGTACTAGTTTTGCCCTAACTACCACAAATCTTTATAATTACAGTTACCTGTCAAGAAACACACACCAAAATTGCAAAACCTCAAGTTTTGGAAATGAGCAGTGACTGGAAGAATGATACAGGAGGTGACTAATTTACATATATATTTCAATAATATACCTGCATTTCTTGAGTGCATTTGCACTTTACTTCAGAGACATCCACTGTCTGGGCTCACTTATATAGTTTTGTAGAATACGAAAAATCATTACATGTATAGTTTCTACTTATGATAGTTGAAGGTTTTGAGAGTATTGGGTTTGTTTGTTTATTTTTTTTCCCCACAAATCTTTATGATAACAGTTACCCATCAAGAGACAATCACCAAAACTGCAAGACCTCAAGCTTTGAAAACAAGCAGTAACTGGGAGAATGATAAAAGAGGTGACTAATACAACTGTTTTTTTTTTCAATAATATACCTGCATTTCTTGAGTGCATTTGCAGATTCTTGTTGGCTTAATTACATAGAAGACCACTTTCCTGGTTACCTAATATAGTTTTATTAAATAAAAAACATCACTTCATGTACAGTTTGTACTCACAATAGTTAAAGGTTTTGAGAGTAGTGTGTTAGGTTTGTTTGTTAATTTTTTTTCTCCCAAAGTAATCCATCAACCTAAGGGGTTTTAATGTTATATTATTGTCTACTAACTCAGCTCTTTCTAACACTTCTGAATTTAAAATCCAGATGCATCTGCACCAACAGTTAACAATAAAAAAGGGAAGGCTTAAGTGAAACAAAACACGGCAAAAAGAAGGGTAAGTAACCGAACATCTATTAAGTAAGGGAAGGGAAAACTTGAGGGTTTGTGGACAAAATTCGTCAAATTATGGCTATTCTGTTGAATATCAAGAAAGTAAAAATATCGTGACTTACTGGCTTGTGTGATTGAATATTATCCCTGAGAGGTAACTTGGTTCTGACGACCAGCTAATCGGAGATCTCGTGAGTAGATAGGCCATAAAGCTGGTTGATTTCATTTGTTATATTGTGGGAAAGGAGTATGGAGTGATAAAATTGTTTTCGTTGGAGCTAGACTTTACCAGTAATTTTGGGGCTAGATTGTCAGACAAATGATTCATAGTCTTTTTATAGTTTAACAGGGCACACCAAAGATGGCTGAGTTAGAAGGATTGGGTATAGATATTGGTGACAAGTGAAAAAACTCTGGGAAGATGCTTAAAAGTATCAGAGCAACTCGAAATAATCGATGCGCGATATAATATTCTTTCTGAAAAAGCCTTCCAGATGCTTCAATACTGGACCCAGAAAAGAGGTTCCTCTGCGACCTACAGAGTTCTAAGTGGTGCCTTAAAAGACGGCCTTTTAGTACGTAAAGACTTGTCAGAAAAGTACTGTTATGGTTGACAGTTGACATAACAAATATTTTCTTGTCTTTTAACTCTGATTTACGAGGGAGTGAGCGGTTTAGTATGCATTTTCTTTGCTCTATTTTATTGTTCTTTCAGTTACACATGTCACTTTCGTCGAAATGTTTAAAATTTACGTCCAACTTATGACAGTTCTTTTTACAAAAAAAACAGCTGCTTAAGAGTCAGAGTTTTGTAACAGCAAACTAAATACAGTAAGCAAGAGTATTGTTTCTTGGTCGAATCTCAAAGTAGAATTTTAGAATTTCAAACTGATCACTCAACATACAGGTAGCGATTATTTTTAAAGGATCAGACTGAAACAGAAAGGGCAATTTGCCAATTTTTTTTTATTCTTGGGGTATTGTCTAGTTGGTAGGTTACTATGAAATTTTCTACTTAGTTTTAATTTTCTTAGAACGGCGTTTTTGTCTCTTTTTCATGCTGAGCATTAGTAGATTTAGACCGTCAGTAGTACTAAACAAGTTAACTGGTATATCGTATGAATAGCTTGTAGGTTGATAAATGTAATTATTTTAGACTTTTTTTAGATCATTATTACATTTCTGCTGGTTAATTGTTGTAATTTACGAAATTACCAAGAAATTGTCATTTTTACACCCTGTTATTAGTGTGCTAATGGAGAATTCCTCCAAAAAAAATGTTAGAGAAATATTTGGTAAGGATAGCAGTTATTTTTTTCTTCATGTTAAGTCATAAATTTTGTCCGTTAAAGCTATAGAAGGTTGGATAGGATTATTTGTATGGATCTAGGTAAATACAAAGTTTGTAATATTGTACACCTTTTAAAATATGAATTTGGTGTTAAGTTAAATTATTGTTCTTAGATACCTAGTGTCGCAAAATGTAAATTAAAATTATCCGTAATAAAATACGTCTAACGTATTAAAACTCACAGCAAGCAATGTTTTTGTTGTTCAGCATCAAGCAGAAACTCGTGCATTCGTGAGGGTAAACTAATTGTTAGATATCCCAAGAAATTTCTTCGAGTGAGCCTGCTGAGGGCAGTCAGTTTTCCTCCAATTTTCACTACTGTGAGAGTCCAGGACAGATTTGGTCTACTAAACCTCAAAACAGCAACTTTTTCTTTATTTGTTATTATTGTTATTATCATTATTATCATCATTGTTATAATTACTATTATTATCAAAAGAAACCCTAAAGTAAAAAAGTTACCGTTGTTTTCTCGACATGGAACGACGAGCTTATTTTTTATTTCTCAAATACCAGCTGTTTTATTTCTTTAATTTTTTTTAATCGTAGTACTTTTGTGTATTTCGATATTTATAGCGATTTCTAACCTGGCGTTTTCCTCGCTGGAATTAGTTACCAGGCTCTTTTAGCATGCAAACTACCAGACTTATATGGAGACAAAAATTTATTATTTACCGCTCTACTATTGTCTTTAAAATCTTATGCTATCTATTATTCCAATTTGGCAATGTAAAACCGTCTTTGACCATCGAGAATAAGAGAATGCGAACATCCTCCGCACTAAGAAACTCCTGTTGCAAGGGTTCTCACGCACGCAACTTCACGGGGCTGCGTGGGACATCTAGCTACACGCGTGATATAGCATGTGTAGCGTACCTAAGTCCTTGTTTTCAGGCCTTGCTCCACGATGTGCGTGGATGGGAATCAAGTGTGCCGATTTATGCACTCGTCTTCTTTCCCACTTAAAACATCCTCGAGGTGCCAAGACAAGATGACTTTCCTCTACCAGTGGTAAGCAGAAATTCTTACAACAAAAGAGGAACAAATTACGCTATATTGTCAGCGGTAGTTCAGTCTCCTAAAACTAATGCATGTGATTAAAAAGCTCTTTGGTGTGTCTGTTTGAAAAAAATGACAACTTCTCTCAGAGCTTTTATAGAACTCGATACAAAGCCAAAGTCAACTACCCATATGTCACTTGTAAAACTTTATCTTCAAGTTACCTTTCCCTATATTCTTTCCTTGTTACTCGTTGTTTTATTAGGTTGAGTTCTTCATTTTTTTGCAGGAAATTTCTTGGATGCCTACATATGTCTTAAGGCTTTTTAGTTTAAAATGGCTCAAAATATATTTCCTAATGGAAAGCAGTCTCCCCTAAAAGCAATTTTCCACATGTAAAATGTTTGGATCTATCAAAGGCATGTCTTGAAGCATTACCTAATTTTCCACATGTAAAATGTTTGGATCTATCAAATTTCGTCCTACATTTTGTAAAGCGCTCGTTCATGCCACCTCGCTTACCTTATAACCCTTGGTATAGGGTCTGTAATCATGATGTAGGATCCCAGATATGAGATCTCATGTCCTCAAGTTTCCAACCAAGGCCATCAAACGACATGCTGTTGAAATTTTATCATCAGTCGTTACGATGCTGGATGCATTTATCCTTGAGTACTTTCTTTTCTTTTAACCGCTCGTACACTGAATGCACCTTCGCTTAATTGCCTTGCCGTTACTTAGTACAAGAAAGAGCGAGCCGAATAGGAGGCCAAATAAAGTATGTCATAAATTATAGAGATTGTTTGGCGATCCCTCTCACGTTATCTATAGGTGTAAATCCATTCACTTGATGGCGTGTTCCTCGAAAAAATTCGATCGATTTGTACCTGTTGTCAAGAAAGGCAACAGTAATTTAACCCGGAACCAACGCTATCCCATGAGACATGAGAAAAACTTGCAACTCTCTTGGGGGAGACGTGCGGAGCTCCCTAGGGAGAAACAGGAGACGTACGGAGCTCAGTAGGGAGAGATACGGAGGGCAGTCGAGACTTGCCGTCTCGCTTGTTCCGAAATTAATTAACGAAAAAAAGCTAGAGAGAAGTCCCAGAAAAGATCGGACATATTACAGTTTGGCAGATGCATGGCGATTACAGCTCAACCCCATGTTTTATACTCTGATAGAGCACGCTCTTTACACCAATGACAGCGTGCATTTAATCCAAACTTTATTATAAATAAATTTATAATAGTAACTGAACTGAGTGGAGTGCAATTTGGGCTGAAATCATACGCATGATTTCAAAAATCACAAGTATGATTTCAGCCCAAAATTGCACGACACGAGGTTCAATCATCACTTCATCTCATCCATTTTGAATTGCACGACACGAGGTTCAATCATCACTTCATCTCATCCATTTTGAAATTGACCAAATACAGGACTTGGTCAGGTCAAATATTTTATTGATGCAGTACTGAGCTGTTTTGAAATTAAATTCATCCATTTTGGGGGGGGGGGGGGAATAAGAGTTTTTGGAGACAAAAGTTGCAAAATTTGCCACATGATACTCTTTGTCTTTCATTTCCTGCAATTTGGTTGCTTACTTCAAGCAAGCCTTGAAATCTGATCGGTTGGGAAAAAGATGCGATTTAAAGCAAAAAATGGTGCGATTCATGAAAAAATCGCACCAATTAGAGCCAATCAGATTACAGGGACAACCAGGGATTTCAAAATGGGTGTAATAAAACCAAAAATGAGTTCCGAAGGCGAAAATCTTGTGTCAAAGAGAGGTCAAATCCATGAAATTGAGAGAATTAAGCTTAAAAGTATGTTAAACCAGAAGGTGATTAAATTTGCTGGTGTATCGGTGTTATCCATGAGGGTACACTGCCGCGGAAGACGCTTGGGTCTAAGGTTAATGTTCTCTCGACCAGGCGTGATACGGTCAATTTTGCGTTCTTATATGACAAGGTAAGTAAGGTACATAATCACGTTTTGGAACACCACACCGTGAACATTCATAGTGAATACACTCCATGTATTTTATGACCGGGCTAAATATTCCACTACACTACATAAAAGACATCTACTAAGCAAACACTAGTTAATTTTGAGTGTAATGCCAGGATAGAGCACAGCCAAGGAGTTGAACTCAGGGAACCATTTATGAACAATCCAGTGAGTGGCAGGGTGGAGGGCTTGTTCCCAAGACCACCAGACTACAAATCCGGTGTCCTAACCACTCGGCCACCCTGCCACCATTATATCTGATGGAAAATCTCTGGCATGACACAAAAAGCCTTTCCCCCCCTCACTTGGAATGAATGATTTTAAAATTTTTATTGAGTCACAGTTATCAAAGCAGGTAGTCTTAAAATAATTAACTCTCTATTTCTCATTTTTTCATTTATAATGAAGTAAGGAGGTAAGCTGTCACGCCATCTGCTAAATTGTACTATGTTCCACCTTTTCCGGGACTTCTCTCTAGCTTTCTTTCGTTAATTGAAAGTGAAATTTCGAAACAAGCGAGCCGGCAAGTAGCAACAGAGGAACCAAACAAAGATTTGTAAACATGCAAAGTGCCGTAATTTACGTTATTTTAAAGTGAGCAGGGACGAAAATCCTCACAGAGATAACGAATTGGACTATCCGAGTGTTGACGGCTTTCAAGCTCAGTTAGATCGCAAGATTACGAATGTAATTAAGAAGTGGGGAGAAACACTCGACTACGTCTCGTAGGTCTCTCTACGGAGCTCCGTACGTCTCTTGTTTCTCCCTAGGGAGCTCCTGTTTCTCCCTAGGGAGCTCCGTACGTCTCCTGTTTCTCCCTAGGGAGCTCCGTACGTCTCCTGTTTCTCACTAGGGAGCTCCGTCGTCTCGTATTTCTCCCCACACTTTTTTGTGCTCTAGCCGCTTCCTGTGTGCTTAACAACAGAACAGAGGACAGCCAAGGCTTCTCTAGATCTTTGAGTCATACTAAGAGATCAGTCATTTTTGTCTCTTGGTAAAGTTCTTTTACCTCAGTCATTTCCTGATTTATGCTGCTGTACTGGATTTACGAATTTTTTCCGTTTGACCGAGGCCCTACCGTGGGATTTACGCGAGCTGGCCCAAGATTTCGAGTTATAATTAGCATTTCACAACCGAATATCTGCATAATTTATGCAATTTTTTCCCGCGCTTCCTATGTCTCATGGGATAGCGTGCTTCCGGGTTAATTTTGTTGTTGCCATCCATGATCTTAAGTACGCATTGTGGCGATGGCATCGAATTTTCACGAGGAACACGCGATCAAGTGAATTGATTTACACCTCCAGATAAGGTGAGAGGGATCGCTGAACAATCTATTATATTATTAAGTTATCACATACTTTATGTGACCGCCTATTCGGCTCGTCTTGTACGAAGTATCGGCAAAGCAAGTAAGCGAAGGAGCATTCAGTGTAGGGGTTTTTCATTTCAGAACAAGAGCAGTGATCTTTAGAAGAAGTGTGCCTCTTATCAGCTTTCCAAATGTGGCGCAAGATTAGTTAGGCTAGCTTTAATATGTACATATGAAGGCTTGTCTTGAAGCATTGCTTCATTTGCAACATAAAAAATGTTTGGACCCAACTAATTTCGTCCTACATTCTGTAAAGCGCTCGTTCAAGCCTCCTCGCCTATCTTACAACCCTTAGTATAAAGTCTCAGATATGAGTTCTCATCCTCTCAAGTTTCTAGCCAATGTCAATGTCACTGCATGCCGTTGAAATTTTACTATCAGTCTTTACGATGCTGGATGCATTTATCCTCAAGTATTTTCTATTATAATTTAACCGCTCATAAGTGATATATCGGTTAGTAAATGTTTTGTGATGGATTGGAATGGCGCCTGTATTCGAAATTACCGATCAGTTTTATGTATTGCACACCAACTGCTTCGTGAAAATAGGTGAATATCATCATGTCAATCTGGGTTGAAAAATCGGTAGGAGTTTCGTTTTGCGGTTTGGCATATACTTCTCTGGTTTTAAGGTCAAATTTTTGTGCTTCATAGTGTAATGTCATACGTCAATCATGTTGGATCACGTGACTAGAGAGAGAGATTGTTATTAAAAAAAAAGCAAGGTTTTTACTACAAGCAGGGCGTTGTGGTTCATCTTACTTTAGCTCTATTCGAGACTGATACTCTCGATACCCAGTGCCGTAGCAGGGTTAAAATTATTGGGGGGGCCCACCACGAGCGCCAAAGTCACGAAGTTTTAGGGAGTCCGGGGGAATGCTCCGCGGAGTGTTAATTAAGCTAACTCAATCCCAAAATAATTATTCTAACCTTCATTTTTACTGTTCTACTCTTGTGTTCAATATATATTTTTTGGAGTTTGCCAAATTATTGGGGGGGCCCGGGCCCCCCCGGCCCCTCCCCACGCTACGGCATTGATACCACATCTGGCGACGAGGATTCTAAAATTCATGAATCCCACAGTCAATATTCACATCAACACCGGTTTTCATTGAGGAGTTCGCTGTGTAAATTTTTCCTGAAAGCACGTGCTGTTTGCGACGCGCTCAACTCTGTGAGACCTCATGGCGGTTTCGCTACCAAGTTTTCCACCGTTCGACGTCCATGCCGATGGCAGTGCAGGTCCACGATGGAAAAGATGGCTAGGACGCTTAGAACGAATGCTTATCGGAATGAACATCACAGCTGCGAAAAGGAAACGGGCTTTGTTGCTGCATTATGCCGGCACCGACGTAGACGAAATATTCGACACCTTACCAAACACTGGCGAAGACGGCGACTATGACACGGCGGTCGCGAAACTTAACGAGTATTTCTCCCCACAAGTCAACACCACATATGAAGTATATAATTTTCGCCAGACGAAGCAGAAAGAGGGTGAGTCGCTTGATAGTTTTCACACCAGGCTTCGCCAACTCGCGAAAACCTGCGAATTCAGCGATGTTGACAAAGAAATTAAAGAACATATTATTCTGACGTGCAGTTCCAGCTCGCTTAGACGCCGAGCGCTACGTGAAAACCCAACGTTAGAAGGTTTATTGAATCTAGGAAGAGCATTAGAACTCAGTGACAAACAAGCGAAAGACGTAGAAGATACCGGAGGCGAATTCCAAGCCGTCAACAAAATCAAACGAAAAGAAGAGAATCGGCAAAGCCGCCCACGATACCGGCGTGACACACAATCACGCAATCGTCGTTTTGGAAACAAGCAAGGCAATTCTCCCAGAAAATGTGGCAAATGTGGCGGGTACGCACCTCACAAAAATCCATGTCCTGCGCAAGGAAAAGTCTGTAAAGCCTGCGGGAAAATTGGCCATTTTGCTCATGTTTGTCGTTCAAAACCTCGTACCGTGGCCTCCGTGGAAACTGGTCAAACCTCTGATGAAGAATATGAGTACGTTTACACTGTCGACCACCAAGAAAACAAGAAGCCACCCATATGTCAGCTACAAATCAATGGAAGAAACGTGAACATGATGATCGATTCGGGTGCATCTGTTAATCTTCTTGATGAAATAACCTTTCAAAGAATTAACAGTCACGGCAGTGAAAGCCTGCAGCCTGTTCACACCAAGATTTATTCATATGGATCTAAAGTCCCTCTTCCTACCCTGGGAATCCTCACTGCAACCGTGAAATCCAGTAACGCGAGCACCTCCGCTCAGCTGACTGTTGTTAAAGGAGAAAACGGAAATCTTCTCAGCTATCACACTGCAAGGAAACTAGGTCTGATTGCGGTTTCTATAAATACTGCCACCGTCACTGAAAGAAACAAAGACGACCCGGAGTCTCTAAAAGAAGAGTTCAAATCACTGTTTGGAGGCATAGGGAAAGTACCAAACAAACAAGTGAAGTTACACATTGACCCCGATGTTACACCCCGACAGCAACCCCACAGACGAATTCCATTTCATGTTAGAGACGATGTCGAAAAAGAGCTTGAGAGACTTGAGAAACTCGACATCATCGAGAAAGTTGAAGGGCGCACACCCTGGATCAGTCCAATTGTTGTCGTCCCCAAGAAATCCGGAGAAGTTCGAATCTGTGTTGATATGCGTGAGGCAAACCAAGCAATTAAGCGGGAAAAGCATCTCATGCCAACCATTGATGACCTTGTTGCTGATTTGAATGGTACAACGCTTTTCAGTACATTAGATCTGTCCTCAGGATACCACCAGCTTGAGTTATCACCTGAAAGTCGTTATGTCACAACCTTCAGTACACATGCTGGCCTAAGAAGATACAAACGTTTGCCTTTTGGAATTAATGCAGCGTCCGAAATTTTCCAGGAAAAGATCAGGGAACTCCTTTCTGGCCTCCCAGGATGTAAAAACATCTCAGATGACATCATAGTATTTGGAAAAGACCAGGAAGAACACAACAAGAATCTCCGTGGTGTTCTCCAGAGGCTTAAAGAAAATAACCTCCGTCTCAACAAAGACAAGTGTGCGTTTTCCAAAACTGAAATCAAGTTCTATGGTCACATTTTCAGCTCTGTCGGTGTTAGACCTGATCCAAAGAAAGTTAAAGCAATCCACGAGGCACAATCTCCTCGGAACCATAGTGAACTGAAGTCTTTTCTTGGTATGGCACAGTACGTCTCCCGATTCATACCAGACTATGCCACAATCACGACCCCTTTGCGCCTGCTGACCCGACAGGACACCCCTTGGAAATGGGAGCAAGAAGAACAAAAGGCATTGGACAAGCTGAAAGAAGCCCTCGCTGGGGATCAAGTTATGTCCTATTTTGATCCAAGAAAGAAGACCGAAATCATTGTCGATGCGAGTCCAACTGGTCTTGGTGGACTGTTAATACAAGAAGGCAAAATTCTTAGTTATGCAAGCCGTGCTTTGAGTGATGTGGAAAGTCGCTACTCCCAAACAGAGAGAGAGATGCTTGCCGTAGTATGGGGAGTGGAACATTTTCATCTGTATGTTTATGGTGCCCAGTTTTCTGTTATTACTGATCATAAACCTCTCATAGGCATCTTTAAGAACCACAAGCAAACTTCCCCAAGAATGGACAGGTGGAAACTTCGACTCATGCCCTACGACTGTCAGCTGATCTATCGGCCTGGAAGAGATGCCGAAAACCCTGCTGATTACATGAGCCGACATCCGTGTCCCACAGCACCAGAAGAACAAAATTTGGCTGAAGATTATGCCAACTATGTATGCTCTAATGCTGTACCAAGAGCAATGACGCTCGAAGAAATAAAACACGAAACCAGAAATGATGCAGAAATGCAAGCTGTCGTCAAGGCTGTGGAAACTGGCCAATGGAATGTTCCAGACGTACAGAAATACAAGAAGCTCAAGGAAGAATTATCAGTGTTCAATGGACTAGTATTGAGAAGAAACAGAATTGTGATACCATTTACTCTCAGAAGTAAAGCAGTAGACCTGGCACATGGTGGTCACCAGGGGATTGTCAAAACAAAGCAACTCATCCGAGACAAAGTGTGGTTCCCGGAATCGACAACCTAACAGAAGAGAAGGTCAAAAGCTGTCTTTCATGTCAAGCTGCATCGACCAAGTCACCACCGATTGAACCCCTTCGAATGACGCCACCCCTAGCGGACCTTGGAGAGAAGTCGCAGTGGATTTTGCTGGACCGTTCCTTCTGGTGATTACATCATGGTTGTAACAGATGAATTCAGCCGTTTTCCGGAAGTAGAAATACTTACCTCAACATCAGCAAGAGTTGTGATCCCTAAACTTGATGCAATATTCTCAAGACAAGGTATTCCTGATGTCCTGAAAAGTGACAATGGTCCACCGTTTAATGGTCATGAATTTAAGAACTTTTCTGACTACTTAGGATTCAAGCATAGAAGGATAACCCCGTATTGGCCAAGAGCAAATGGAGAAGCGGAACGACTGGTTCAGACCCTCCAAAAGTCTATCAGAATTGCTCACCTAGAAGGCAAAAATTGGAAGCAAGAGTTGTACAAGTTCTTACGGCAATATCGTGCAACACCCCACCACCACCATCAATGTGTCTCCAAGTGAAGCCTTAAACAGCAGAAAACTCAAGACCACACTACCAGAGTCACCGATCACCCAACACAAGCTGCCGCGATATACACTTCAAGATCCATCCGCTAGCGTCGCCCAGAGAGATGCTCTGCAAAAGCAGAAAATGAAGGTCTATGCTGACCTCAAAGCGCATGCTCAAGAACGAGAGATTAAGCCAGGAGAAGTTGTACTCATTAGACAACCCAAACAAAACAAGCTCAGCACTCCATACAATCCAAAACCATTCATCGTGGAGGAACAGAAAGGCACCATGGTCACAGCGAGTGATGGTTCACACACTGTTACGAGGAATTCATCGCAGTTCAAAGTTATTCCGAAACATCTTGCACCCTGCCAAGAGAATGGTGGAAGGAAAGATGAAGAAAAGACACAATGTCCATCCAAAATGAAAGCTGACGCCTTGCCGAGACGATCGAAACGACAGATCAAACCTCCTGTCAGGTTTTCAGACTATGTACAAATCGTCTACGAGAAATAGGCTGGAAAAGGAACTTTTCTGATTCTCTGAGAACGTTGACATAATATGAAGTGTTTGAAGGAAAAGAGATCTCAGTTTAAATTCAGTTTGAATGTTGATTATTGAACTTTGATTACAAAACGATGTACATTGTTTTGTTTAGAATTTTAGGACGTTTATCACTTAAAATACAGTTAGTCACCTTGTGTTCTTTTCATCCGAAAAAAAGGGAGGGATGTAATGTCGTACGTCAATCATGTTGGATCACGTGACTAGAGAGAGAGATTGTTATTAAAAAAAAAGCAAGGTTTTTACTACAAGCAGGGCGTTGTGGTTCATCTTACTTTAGCTCTATTCGAGACTGATACTCTCGATACCACACATAGTGAGTGAAATATCCGCTGGGAACAAATTATAATAATTAAAATTTTCTTTTCAAGTAGCAGAACACTGACGAGGAAACCACACATAGCTGGAAACAACACACTCTTGCATCTTATACCCTAGCCTATTGACACACCAGAAAACATGTTCAGTTAAACTGGATTTAACTGAATGAAAATCAGAAACAGAGAACTAAAACAAAGCTTACCATAGGTTTCAAGTAATTGTTAACTTGTATTTTCAATGTGCTATATGTATAGTTGATTCAAAGTGCTTTAAGGCTGCCTTATATTAAGAAAAATATTTTAAGCCATGTTTAAATGTTTAACTTCTAAGATATATGGAAGCTTTGTTGTGAATGGGGTGTTGGAGAAACTTCACAGAATTCCAGAACCTTCAATTACTTTTACTGACTGAACAAAATAGAATGAAAATACTGTTACCCTGGGCTCATGTATTTGCATAAGTTTTTTATAACTAAAAATGAATTTATGGCATTTTGGTTGAATAAACTTTTTTGTGGGAACCGATATTTATGGATCAAGGGCAATCATAAAATTCTGAAATCATTTTGTAAACTTTTTACAGGACATTATCTGAATAAGCAAGCTGCCCTCATGAAGATAACCTTTTTGACTGAGGAATGGACTCAGTCAACCAAAGGCAGTTGTTCCACCTTAGTGAGACAGATGGCCATAGAACTCTCTAGACTAGAAAATGTAGAAATTGGTATTTTAATTCCAAGTGCCAGTCAAGAGGATAAAGAAGATGCCCAAAAATACAACATCAAGGTTTTCGAACCTGAAGAATATGCAGGCTTTAAACCAGTTGATTGTCTGCAGTTTCCTCCCCAAGGATTTAGCACTGACTTTATAATTGGTCATGGCATTAAGCCTGGATGCTATGGACAGGTCCTTAAGAATAACCTTGGCTGTAGGTGGGTGCATGTGGTCCTGAGAAATGCAGAAGAAACAGCAATGTTCCAGAAAACCCTAGGAGCCATTTCTGAAGGGCAGAAACAGCATGAAACTGAGGTAGAATTGTGTAAAAACGCTGACATGGTTATAACAGTTGGCTCTAAGCTCAATGAAACCTTTAATTCTGCTCTGCATCAGTGTAAGAAAGATCATGTATTCAATCTTATACCTGGCATTTTTGATGAGTTTTTTGGAGAGCAGAAGAAATACCGCAATTCAAAGAACTTTGAAATCCTAGTGTTTGGCAAAGGGAACACTGAAGACTTTGAACTAAAAGGTCTTCATGTTGCTGCCAAAGCTGTGGCACATCTTAATAACTATGAGCCATCATACATTCTCAAAGTTGTCGGCGCCCCCGAAGGAGAACAAGAGAAACTGGCGGAGAGGTTGGAAGGTCTCGGGATCCCTCGTAGTCAACTGCTTGTTAGAAGTTTTTATAAGGAAAGAAGAAAACTGGCTCAGCTATTTTTGGAAGTGGATCTTGTTTTGATGCCTTCAGGTACAGAGGCGTTTGGTCTCACAGCTTTGGAGGCATTGTCAGCAGGTGTACCAATCCTTATTACCCATAATTCTGGCTTGGCAGAGGCTCTAGAGGAAGTACCTTTTGGGCGCAGATGCATAGTAGGTCAAGCAGATGATTGGGCTGAACAAATCAAGCAAGCACGAAAACATCTGAGAACTGGATTAGCAGAGGCAAGCACACTACGCAACAACTATAAAGAGAAATACTGTTGGCAGGACCAATGTACTGCTTTTGTGACGAAGCTTTGGGCCTTGCAATCAGGTTAAAATATTAACTTATGCATTTACCTGAAGTAAAATAATTCAAGAAGTATCTAGTAGCTGATTGGCACAAATCGGTTTATCATTTTGAAATTGGCACTATGACTGGAATTAATATAGGAGTGAAATCAAATAGGTAGACATAAATTGAGGGCTATTTTGATGGTATCTGTGCAGTTCAGATTATTGCTGATTTCAGTACAATATGTATGTTTTATAGTGCAAAAATGTTTTGATTTTCATGTGCTCAAAGCCACCAAGCCTTAAAATGGACATAGAAATTACACCAGATAACAAAATTGCCACAAAAATGTGTAACAAATATTAATCACAGTTACTTACAAGGCTTAACACTGTTACAGGTTTCACCTCCTTAGTTCCATTTTAATGATATGAATTGAAGTACAGCTGCACAAACATGTCTTACTCATGTGGGGCTTAGATGAAAGACAGTTTCACTGTTACTTTGATAAGTTGTCTTTGTGTAATTTGTGCTATTTGTTTATCAACATCTAACAGGACGTGCTGAGGAAGTGCAACAAGAGTCCCAAGGGAAAAGGCATTCACCTCGAAAGCGAGGGGCTGGTAATGACTTACTTGTCTATTTTTTAAACATGCCTTAGTGTTATCAACAAACTGCATCCTTTTTAAATCAAGCAGGTACAAAACATTTTAATGAAATTAAAATACCAATATTTTTTTGGACTTTTTTTGAATATCAAAGAACACAATTCCTGGACAATGTCATGTCATAGTCATGACAATTTTCAATGTGAATACCCTAATAGGGGTATTTACATTTTCTGACAGACCCTGCTCAGGATCCAGACCTGTTTGAATCAAATGCAGATTCTTCTTACATATCTGGAATGCAAAGAAATAGTGACTTAGTTTTAAGATGAAGGAACTGTGTTACTTTACATTTGTTGGAGATCTGTGGATTTTTTTTCTTGTTAATTGACCATCAGATTACTTTTACATCAGTTCCAGGGAAATTTTTATCTTACTTAAGACACTGTTGTTACAAGGTGATCAGCAAACTAATTTGTTACTAATAATTTTTAAGGGGCAAAATCCATATGATCATGATTTAAATTCACCTGTGAGAACATTACTCCATTACTCCATAGGGGATCATTTGTGGTATTGACTAAGCAAGGCTTTAAGTTGCCACTGTTTTGGTTGCCATGGTAATTAGCCAATTTGGCCATTGATTATCGTGTGTTTTCTGGTCAGTCATGGCATGACATTAGCCAGCTGTAACATTCTTTAATGAGATATAAACAATTTTGCATAGCACAATCCCTATCAATCCCGTATGAACAAACTGCATCTTTTTATATTGGGCAGGTACAAAACATTTTAATGAAATTAATATACCAATTTTTTTTTGAGACGTTTTTTGAATATCAAGGAACACAATTCCTGGACAATGTAATATGTCATAGTTATGAAATTTTAAAGTGAATGCTCATGATAGGGGTATATCCATTTTCTGACTGACCCTGCTGGGGATCCAGACCAGTTTGCATCAAATGCAGATTCTTTTTACATATCTGGAAAGTGACAAAAATGTGACTTTAAAATGATGGAACTGTCTTACTTTACATTTGATGATTGCTTTTACATCTCATGTTTATGTCACTTTAGACACTAAACAGAGTGATCAGCAAACTAATTTATTACTCATACTTTTAAGAGGCAAAATCCATATGATCATGATTTAAATTCACCTGTGAGAACAATACTCCACAGGAATCGTTTGTGGGGTTGACTAAGCAAGGCTTTAAGTTGCAATTGTTTTGGTTGCCATGGCAATTGACACTAGCCAGCTGTAACATTCTTTACAAGAGAAAATGCAATCCTTATGGTCAGCTGTCTAGTTGTCTTTGTGTAATTTTTGCCATTCGTTTATTGACATCTAACAGGATGTGTTGAGGAAATTGATCAGGAGTCCCAAGGCAAAAGGCATTCACCTCAAAAGCGAGGGGCAGGCTTTACTGGTATAACTCACTTGTCTATTTTTTAAACATGCCCTAGTGTTATCAACAAACTGCATCCTTTTTGTACTGAGCAGGTACAAAACATTTTAAATAAATCAATGTACCAATATTTTTTATGGACTTTTTTCAAATATAGAGGAACACAATTCCTGGACAATGTAATAATTAATGAAATTAATATACCAATTTTTTTTTGGGACTTTTTTTGAATATCAAGGAACACAATTCCTGGACAATGTAATATGTCATAGTCATGAAATTTTAAAGTGAATGCTCATAAATAGGGGTATTTCTATTTTCTTACAGACCTTGCTAGGGATCCAGACCAGTTTGCATCAAATGCAGCTTCTTCTTACATACCTGGAAAGCGACACAAAGGTGACTTACTTTTAAAATGAAGGAACTGTCTTACTTTACATTTGATGGAAATCTGTGGATTTTATTTCATGTTAATTGTCATCCAGATTGCTTTTACATCTGTTCCAGGGAAATGTTTATCTCACTTTAGACACTTGTTACAAGGTGATCAGCAAACTAATTAATTACTTACAATTTTAAGGGGCAAAATCCACATGAAGATGATTTAAATTCACCTGTCAGGGGACACTACTCCACATGACATATTTGTGGTGTTAGCCAAGCAAGGCTCTAAGTTGCAACTATTCTGGTTGCCATGGCAATCACCAATTTTGGCCATTGATTATCTTGTGTTTGCTGGTCATGCATGGCATGACACTTGCCAGCTGTTACATTATTTAAAACAGAGATAACCAACTTTTCATAATACAATCCTTATTGAAGTACTAGGTTTACAATAGCCACATGGTACTATTATCTCAAAGACATTAAGTGGTATGGTCAGCAGTCTAGTTGCATCCAGTCAGCCATCCAATGGTGGCTCCTAAAAGAGCTGTTTCTTTGAAGTGAGAGCACAATTATGTTACTGTAGGTTTTTAATCTTCCATCTTGAACTTGTTGACAATTTCATCTTCTGCTTCATTGTCTCGGGCTTCAGGTATGCTGTCCATCTTATCAGCACAAAGGACATCATCTTCTGTTCCAATCAGTTATACCCCCACTAGCTGTCACACATAAAATTAAATCTAATAAGTTTGATTCAACAAATTATACTTGATAATATGAGGAATGTGTGCATGGATATGTATTTGTATACTTTTAAAATCGACCTCCTCTCGGGATAAATACAAACAATCTAGTCCCAAACTTTGTAGATAAACACAGGCTGTAAAAACCCTAACTGGCAGGAGGCATACAAAGCACAGCCAAGGAGTTGAATTCAGGGAACCATTTAAGAACAATCCAGTGAGTGGCAGGGTGGTGGGCTTGTTCACAGGACCACCAGACTACAAATCCTGTGTCCTAACCACTTGTCTACCCTGTCTCCACAATATCTGATGGAAAATCTTTGGCATGACAAAAAAAAAAAAAAAAGCCTTTGTCCCCTTTCCCCCTTAAAAAAATTCCTTGGCAATGAATGATTCTAAAATTGTTCCTGAGTCACAATTTTTAAAGCTGTTAATCTTGAAATAATTAACTCTCTATTTGTTTTTATATTCAAGAAGGAGTAGTAAGTAATGATGACCTTCAAACACTTGGCAAAGCTATTGGTGTCAAGTGGGATCGACTGGCACGTCGACTACCTGGAATTACAGAAGATGACATAGAAGAAATTGAAGACAGCCATAGGACTTTGTCTCAAAGGGGATTTCATATGCTGAAACTGTGGAAAACAAACAATGGGGAAGCTGCAGACTATAAGACTTTACATGATGCATTAGTCCACAGTATGGTACAGCGGAAAGACTTAGCAGAAAAGTATTGTTTTGAATAATAATATCTCTTTGATATTACTTATACAAAAACCTGGCAGTTAGTTTAAATAGACAGCCACTGGGTGGAAAGTAGAGAGCTAGTTAGCAATAAATTCCAGGTGGCTATGAGTTGTGAGAATCTAATGATGAATTTATCCTTGATTTACACTCTTTTATCGATAGTCTTTTTACAACACTGAATAACATGTGTTTAGTTAATATTGTACACGCATTTGATTGCATCTATTGAAGGAAAGATGCATAGATGGTGGAAAATGTTGAAGCTTTAGAATGATCGTATGTCACCTCAAGAGAGAAGTTCTTTAAAATAAAGCTGGAGTATTTTAGATAAACTCGATGAGTACCCTAAGTTTTCTGATGCAGACAACTATATATACTGTCTTAAAAAATAAAATAAGTGCTTGTTTGGAGCAATTAGGTTAGTGATTATGTGAGCATTTTTTAATGAATTGGGAACGCAACATATGCAGTCGTTCGTCGTTGGTAATCACAATTTTAAATTGTTTTGTACAAATCGAGAATGAAAATATTTTTATTTTGCCATGATAGTATTATAGTTAACTAGTGTTTGCTTAGCAACTGTCTTTTATGCAATGTAATGGAATATTTAGCTCGGTTATCAAATACATGGAGTGTATTCACTTTGAACGTTTAAGGTGTGGTGTTTCAAAACATGTTTATGCACCTTACTTACCGTGTGATAAACGAACGCAATATTGACCGTATCACGTCTGATCTAGAAAAAATTCACCTCGTATCCTAGCCTCCTCCGCGGCAGTGTACCCTCAGCTTTTTGGAAAATCGGTACAGCAGCAAATTTGATCACCTGGTTTAACATACTTTTAAGCTCAACTCTCTTATTACCATGGATTTGACCACTCTTTGACTTAAGATTTTCGCCCCCGGAACTTACTTTTTGTGAAATTTATTTAAAATAAATCTCGGATATAACGCGCGCTGTCATTGGTTTAAAGAGCGTGCTCTATTAGAGTACAAAACATGGAGCTGAGCTTTCACGCCATCTGCCAAGTTGTATTATGTCCGACCTTTTCCGAGACTGCTCTCTAGCTTTTTTTATTGTCAGTTGAAAGGGAAATTTTGTAACAAGCGAGACGGCAAGTAGCAACAGAAGAACCGAACCAAGATTTGTAAACATACCAAGTGCCGTAATTTACCTTATTAGAACGTGAGCAGAGACGAAAATCCTCATAGATCTTCATAGAAATAACGAATTACTCTATCCGAGTTTTGATAGTTTTCACGCTCAGTTAGATTGCAAGATTACGAACGTACTTGAGAAGTGGGGAGAAACACTCGACTTCGTCTTGTGTGTCTCCCTACGGAGCTCCGTAAGTCTTATGTATCTCCCTATAATTCTTTCGTGCTCTAGCCGCTCCTTACGTGCTTTGCAACGGAACAGCATGGTCGTACTAGGAGACCAGTCGTTTTTTCTTATCTCCTGGGTGGAGTGGGTGAAAGATATGAGAGGGATCACATGATTATCAGGGGGAACAGAGCGGGGATCAGTCGTCGCCAACAGATTACGAAGGAGAACTATAAAAATTGAACTTCAATTAACTGCTAATGAGGGGAAATTAAAAGAATATTGTAGAGCCTTATGGGGGATCAGGCAAATTTTACCGTCACACAACTAAAATCCTCCGGCCCCTCCCATAGGCGAATAAATAATGACCGATCCCTAGGGGGATGTATCGTGTAAATGCGTGGGAGTTTGGATGTGCGTGCGGGGAAAGGGACAGGCTTACAAGCTGCATGGACGAGTATCTACCACTAGTAAATATTTGCAATGCGGTGACATGTATACTCTTCAATGAGCTAACTAGGTAGAGCTTTAGAGCGCGAGATATTACAGTGTGACTAGTGGCAGCTCGAGTCCTCTCTGCGGGAACTCATCAGATTTTTCCTTGTCACGCGCAGACGAGAGAAGTTCTTTTACCTCTGTCAAATCCTGCTTTATGTTGCTGTACTGGATTTAGGAATTTCTTTCGTTTGACCGAGGCCCTGCCGTGGGGTTTATGCGAGCTGGCCCAAGTTTTTGAGTTAAATTAGCATTTCACAACAGAAAACCTGCATAATTTATGCAAGTTTTTCCCGCGCTTCCCATGTCTCATGGGATAGCGTGCTTCCGGGTTAGTTTTACTGTTGCCATCCATGATCTCAAGATCTCATTTTGGCGATGTTATCGAATTTTCAAGAGGAACACGCGATCAAGTGAATTGCTTTATACCTCCAGATAAGGTGAGAGGGATTGCTGAACAATCTCTATAAATTGTGACATACTTTATATGGCCACCTATTCGGCTCGCTCGCTTTTGTACGAGGTATCGGCTAGGCAAATAGGCGTAGGAGCATTTAGTGTACAAGAGTTTAAAATAAAAGAAGGTACTTAAGGATAAATCCATCCAGCATCGTAAAGAGTGATATTGGTTGGAAACTTCCATCACAGACCCTATACTAAGGGTTATGAGATAAGTGAGGAGGCTTGAACGAGCGCTTTACAAAATGTAGGATGAAATTAGTTGGATCCGAACATTTTTTATGTTCCAAATGAGGCAATGCTCCAAGACATGCCTTTGTATGTACATGGGCTAGCCTAACTAATCTTGCGCCATATTTAGAAAGCTGATATTTCACTTAACACTGCTCTTGTTGTGAAATGGAAAACCCCAAGGTGATATATCAGTAACAAATAAGTTTTGTGGTAGATTAGAATGGCGCTCGTATACGAAATTTCCGATCACTAATATGTGTTGCATACTGCTTTGTGTGAAAATAGGTGAATATCAGCGACCTATTTAGGTTAAAAAATCGGTAGGGGTTTTATTTTGTGGTTTGGCATACTTTTCTGATTTTAGGATCGAATTTTTGTGCTTAAAAGTGAGTGAAATTTCTGCTGGGAACAAATTGTAATAATTACAATTTTCTTTTCGAGTAGCGGGCTTAACATTGACGAGGAAGCTACATATAGCTGGAAACAGCACACTCTTGCATCCAATACCTCAGCCTATTGACACACCAGAGAACATATTTAGTTAAACCGGGTTTAACTGACAGAAAATCAGAAACAGGCCCGTACGGCATCTCATACGGGCCTGAATTTTTTTCAGGCTTTATTTCTACTACTAGTTCAGTAGTGTTGATAACTGCGAGGATCACTTCTATATTCGTTTCTTCAACGGCAGGGCTCATATACGATTTTCATATATTTACAGTCATTATAAAAATACTTGTGTCGCATTTTGATTTAATTAACTTTTTCTGTGGGAACTAATACATATGGATCAAGGCAGGGCGTGAAATTGCGCCTAATACAGGCGCCAATGCGCCTAATACAGGCGCCAATGCGCCTAATACAGGCGCCAATGCGCCTAAATTTTTCACTTTGGCGACCAAATCCTGAAAGTTAGTCGCCAAATTGGCGACTAGAACGTTTCATCATAACCTTACCAAGAGATATAGTGAATTAAAAAGATTTGCAAAGATAAATCCGCGGCAAACTTCCTTGTTAACTTTGTTACCAAAACGTAGCACATGCCTCTCGATCGTTAACTAGACGCCATCTTGGATTTAGATGAGCCTGAACGTTGTATATCATCCATCCTAGTTTCCACTTTGTAGCACATTAAAGATCTTTTCCCTAACTTAATTTTGGAGGGTCTATCTAGAACACTGACAGCGTAAAGAAAGATTTTGTTTGTCTTTGAAAATGGCGACCAACTTTTTTTGAATTGGCTACCACTTTGAAGAATTTAGGAGCCAAGTGGCTTTCAGAAAAAAAAGTTAATTTCACGCCCTGCATAGGGCAATCATACAATTCTGAAATCATATGTACAGAACATTATCTGAATAAAATGAAGATAAACTTTTTGACTGAGGAATGGAATTCCAGCACCTTCAATTACTTAACTGACTGAACAAAATAGAATGAAAATACTGTTACCCTGGGCTCATGCCTACTTGCATGAGTTTTTAGTAAACTAAGAATAAATTTATGGCATTTTGATTGAATAAACTTCTTTTGTGAGAACTGATATTTATGGATCAAGGGCAATCATACAATTCTGAAATCATTTGTAAACTTTTACAGGACATTATCTGAAAAAAGCAAGCTGCCATCATGAAGATAACCTTTTTGACTGAGGAATGGACTCAATCAACCAAAGGCAGTTGTTCCACCTTCATGAGACAGATGGCCATAGAACTTTCTAGACTAGAAAATGTAGAAATTGGTATTTTAATTCCAAGTGCCAGTCCAGAGGATAAAGAAGATGCCCAAAAATACAACATCAAGGTTTTTGAACCTGAGAAACTTACAGGTTATGAACCAGTTAATTGTCTGCAGTTTCCTCCACAAGGATTTAGCACTGACTTTATCATTGGTCAGGGCATTAAGTCTGGATGTCATGGACAGGTCCTTAAGAATAACCTTGGCTGTAAATGGGTGCATGTGGTCCTAAGAAATGCAGAAGAAACAGCAATGTTCCAGAAAACCCCAGGTGCCATTTCCGAAGGGTAAAAACAGCGTGAAACTGAGGTAGAATTGTGTAAAAAGGCTGACATGGTTATAACAGTTGGCTCTAAGCTCAATGAAACCTTTAGTTCTGCTCTGCATCAGTGTAAGAAAGATCATGTTTTCAATCTTATACCTGGCATTTTTGATGAGTTTTCTGGAGAGCAGAAGCAATTCCGAAATTCAAAGAACTTTGAAATCTTAGTGTTTGGCAAAGGGAAGACTTTGAACTAAAAGGTCTTCATGTTGCTGCCAAAGCTGTGGCACATCTCAATAAGTATGAGCCATCATACATTCTCAAAGTTGTAGGTGCCCCTGAGGGAGAACAAGAGAAACTGGCTGGGAGGTTGGAAGATCTTGAGATCTCTCGTAGTCAACTGATTGTGAGAAGTTTTTACAAAGAAAGAAGAAAACTGGCTCAGCTATTTTCAGAAGTGGATCTTGTTTTGATGCCTTCGGGTACAGAGGCATTTGGTCTCACAGCTTTGGAGGCATTGTCAGCAGGTGTACCAATCCTTATTACCCATAATTCTGGCTTGGCAGAGGCTCTGGAGGAAGTACTTTTTGGGCACGGATGCATAGTACATAAAGAAGCTGACTGGGCTGAAAAAATCAAACAAGCACGAAAAAATCTGAAAACTAGATTAGAAGAGGCAAGCATGCTACATAACAAGTATAAAGAGAAATACTGTTGGCAGAACCAATGTACTGCTTTTGTGACAAAGCTTAGGGCCTTGCATTCAGGTGTTGTTAACTTTATATGCATTTAACTGAAGTAAAATAATTAAATAAGTACCTAGTAGCTAGTTGGCACAAATCTGTTTATCATTTTGAAATTGGAACCTTGATTAGAATTAATATAAGAGTGAAATAATAAAAAGGTAGACATAAATTAAGGGCTATTTTGATGGTATCCATGCAATTCAGATCATTGCTGATTTCAGTACAATATGTATGTTTTATAGTGCAAAGATGTTTTGATTTTCATGTGCTCAAAGCCACCAAATCTTAAAATGGACACAGAAATTACACCAGATCACAAGCTTGCTACAAAAATATGCAACAAGTACTAAACAGTTACTTACAAAGCCTAACACTGTAACAAGTTTTACCTCCTTAGTTCCATTGTAATGATCTGAGTTGAAGTACAGCTGCACCAATATGTGTTACTCAAGACATGTGGGGCTTAGATGAATGACAGTCACACTAATATTTTGATTAGTTGTCTTTGTGTAATTTGTGCTATTTGTTTATCGACATCTAACAGGACATGCTGAGGAAATGCAACAGGAGTCCCAAGGCAAAAGGCATTCAGCTCAAAAGCCAATGGCTGGTAATTACTTGCTTGTCTATTTTTTAAACATGCCCTAGTGTTATCAACAAATTGCATCCTTTTAATATTGAGCAAGTACAAAACAATTTAACGAAATCAATATACAAATGTTTTTGGACTTTCTTTGAATATCAAAGAACACAATTCCTGGACAATGTAATGTCATAGTCATGACAATTTTCAATGTGAATACCCTAATAGGGGTATTTACATTTTCTGACAGACCCTGCTGAGGATCCAGACCTGTTTGAATCAAATGCAGATTCTTCTTACATATCAGGAAAGCAAAGAAATAGTGACTTAGTTTTAAGATGAAGGAACTGTGTTATTTTACATTTGTTGGAGATCTGTGGATTTTTTCTGTTAATTGTCCATCAGATTTCTTTTAGATCAGTTCCAGGGAAATGTTTATCTTATTTAAGACACTGTTGTTACAAGGTGATCAACAAACTAAGTTGTTACTTAAAATTTTAAGGGCAAAATCCATATGATTACCTGATAAATTCACCTGTGAGAACATTACCCCATTACTCCACAGGGATCACATGGGGTATTGACTAAGCAAGGCTTTAAGTTGCCACTGTTTTGGTTGCCATGGCAATTAGCCAATTTGGCCATTGATTATCTTGTGTTTGCTGGTCATGCATGGCATGACATTAGCCAGCTGTAACATTCTTTAATGAGATATGAACAATTTTACATAGTACAATCCCTATTGAAGTACTAGGTTTACAATTGTCACATAGTACTATTATCTCAGACATTAAGTGGTATGGTCAACAGTCTAGTTTATTAGTTGCCTTTGTGTAATTTTTGCCATTCATTAATTGACATCTAACAGAATGTGCTGAGCAAGTTGAACGGGAGTCCCAAGGAAAAAGGCATTCAGCTCAACAGCAAGTGGCTGGTATTACAACTCACTTGTCTATTTTTTAAACATGCCCTGGTGTTGTCAACAAACTGCATCCTTTTTATATTGAGCTGGAAGTAAATATTTTAATGAAATAAGTCTACCAATATTTTATTTGAACTTTTTTTGAATATCAAGGAACACAATTCCTGGAAATTATAATGTCATAGTTATGAAATTTACCATGTGAATACCTTAATAGGAGTATCTCCATTTCCTGACAGACCCTGCTAAGGATCCAGACCAGTCTGCATCAAAGAAAGATTTTTCTTCCGTATCTGGAAAGCAACTAAAAGGTGACTTCCCTATAAAATGAAGGAACAGTGTAACTTTATGTTTGTTGGAAATCTGTGGATTTTTTTGTGTTAATTGTCACCCAGATTGCCTTTAAGTGTTTATCTCACTTTAGACACTTTTGTTACAAGGTGATCAGTAAACTAATATATTACTTATTTTAAAGGGCAAAATCCATATGATGATGATTTAAATTCACCCGTGAGAATTTTACTCCACAGGAATCATTTGTGGTTTTGACTAAGCAAGGCTTTCAGTTGCAACTGTTTTGGTTGCCATGGCAATTGGCCAATTCGGCCATCAATTTTCTTGTGTTTGCTGGTCGTGCATGGCATGACACTAGGCAGCTGTAACATTCTTTAACAGAGAGATAAACAATTTTGCATTATACAATCCTTATTGAAGTACTAGGTTTACAACTGCCACATAGTACTATTATCTCCAAGACATTAAGTGGTATAGTCAGCCATTTGGTTGATTAGCTGTCTTTGTATGATTTTTGACCAGTTGATGATTTCATCGTCTGCTTCGTTGTCCTGGCCTTCAGGTATGCCGTCCATCTTATCAGCACAAAGGGCTGATAAGATGGACAGTTATATCCCCAACAAACTGTCACAACACAAATTAAATCTGATCAGTTCAATTCAACATAATATATATATGGAAGGCTTGTTCCCAGGACCACCAGACTACAAATCCTGTGTCCTAACCACCACTTGTCCATCCTGTTTCCACAATATCTGATGGAAAATCTCTGGCATGACCAAAAAAGCCTTTTCTCTACTTACCCCCCTAAAAAAAAATTCACTTGCAGTGAATGATTTTAAAATTGTTACTGAGTCACAGTATGTAACAAGTGAGCTGGTAATCTTAAAATAATTAACTCTCTGTTTGTGTTTATATTCAAGAGGGAGTAGTAACTGATGATGACCTTCAAACACTTGGCAAAGCTATTGCTGGAAAGTGGGATCGACTGGCACGTCGACTACCTAAAATTGAGGAAGATGACATAGAGGAAATTGAAGACAGCCACAGGACTTTGTCTCAAAGGGGATTTCATATGCTGAAACTGTGGAAAACAAACAATGGGGAAGCTGCAGACTATAAGACTTTACATGATGCATTAGTCCACAGTATGGTACAGCGGAAAGACTTAGCAGAAAAGTATTGTTTTGAATAATAATATCTCATAGATATTGCTCATACCAAAACCTGGCAGTTGGTTTAAATAGAGGCGGCCACTAGGTGGAAAGTATAGATAACTTTGCTAATTACCAATAAATTCCAGTTGGTTATTAATTGTAAGAATCTAATGATTAATTAATCCTTGATTTACATCCTTTTATCGATAGCCTTTTTACAACATTATACAACATGTGTTTTGCTAATTTTATACACGCATTTGATTGGAAGAAAGACGCATAGATGAGGAGAATGTTGAAGCTTTGAAATGATCGTACGTCGGCTCAGGAGAGAAGTTCTTTAAAATAAAGTATATGTCAAGTACTCTGAGGTTTTTTAATGTAGACAACTATATATACTGTCTTAAAAAATAAAATAAGTGCTTGTTTGGAGCAATTAGGTTAGTGATTATGTGAACATTTTTTAGTGATTGAGGAACGAAACATTTGCAGTCGTTCGTCGTTGGTTATTACAGCTTAAATTTGTTTTTGTAGAAATCGAGAATGACGATATTTTCATTTGGCTAAATCTATATATTAGTTAACTAGCGTTTCCTTAGCAGCTGACTTTTATGCAATATAATGAAACATTTAGCCCGGTTATGAAATACATGGAGTGCATTTACTTTGAACGTTCAAGGTGTGGTGTTTCAAAACGTGTTTATGCTCCTTACTTACCTTGTGATAGACGAACGCAAAATTGACCATATTACGCCTGGTCGAGAAAAAAATTCACCTTGAACTCAAGCCTCTTCCGCGACAGTGTATAAAAAACCCTCAGCTTTTTGGAAAATCGATCAGATAAAACTGGTACACCAGCAATTTGATCACCTTCTGGTTTGACATACGCTTAGGCTCAATTCTCTCAATTCCGTGGATTTGACTGCTCTTTGACTTAAGATTTTCGCCCTCGGGAATTACTTTTTGTCAATTCATTTATAATAAAGTTCGGATATAACGCGCGCTGTCATTGATTGAAAGAGCGTGCTCTATCAGAATACAAAACACAAAGCTAAGCTGTTACGCCATCTGCCAAATTGTCCGACCTTTCCCTTGCGAACTGAATTCCCAGTTTTCTGGGAATTCCTAGGAATTCCTAGGAATTCCTAGGAATTCTCAAAAATTCCCAATTATGCAAATGACCCTTGCAAACTGAATTCCCAGTTTTCTGGGAATTTCTGGGAATTCCTAGGAATTCTCAAAAATTCCCAACTATGCAAATTAACTCTGATTTAAAAAGCTTGGAATTACTGGGAATTTCTGGGAAAGGAAGACTCCAGTTTTGTGAGGACTTGGAATCCCTAGGAATTCCTAGGAATTCTCAGCTTTACAAACTACCTATAATTTAAGAAGTGTGGAACTCTTGGGAATTTCTGGGAATTGAATTTGAGGCAATTTTAATACCCTGAGGTCCACATAAATTCTAAGAAATTCTCAATACCTTGAATGTGAAGGTTTTAAGAAAAAGAGATGGCGGTGTTGGAACGTGTTGCTGAACGCTAGCTACAGTCAAGCTTTGTAGATTTAGGTACTGGTACACTGGGATCATCTATGTATCTCTTATACTTCCGAATGTGGTATCCTTCTTTTATAAATATGAGGGTAAAAGACGATTTGTAGTCGCATTCAAAACTGTGATTGGCTTGTGTTATTTCTCACCTTTGCCATTAACACAACTCAAGTGAGTTTCGAGTCTTTGTTTCCTCGACAACTTTCGGCCACAAATCGTGCATTTGTAATACGATCGACTCTTGTCGATTATTTCTACATAGAGTGAGCTCACATCTTTATTTATATCACCAAGCTATCCATCTTCTAGAAGTAGAGAACCGGTCGGAGAAGTCAGAATAAAGTTGGGCACTTCTTCTAACACTGCAATCGGCAAGCCAGCGGATTCACTCTGCTAGCCAATGACAAGTCCTAAAAGATCCACGTGATCATGCCCGTGATCGGAAACAAAGAAGACTCCATTTGGCGCTCATCTTTCAATGTACTTTTCATCGGTTGATCGGTTTTTCTCAACTGTTTTGCTTAATATAACATTTCTAAAGATAGCTTTTATTGTGGTTCAATGGGAAAACGAGAATAGCGTGAGTGTTGTAAAAGAAAAGAAAGTCGTTGGCGCCGTGGAGTTAAAAGAAGGGACAACAGTTGACATATTGACTGGTACAAACAAGGGTCGAGTGGCCATCTGTAAAGCTACGATTTTGAAAGTTTTTGGTGAGTAAAAATTGCGATATTCGTTACGTGATCAAAATCTTATAAAAAAGAATAGATGTAGCGGGTTGAATTAAGCTTACATAACGCTCGGCGCAACTGAAACTAGAATAATTCTGAGAATCGAATCGGTCACTTGCATGCCGCAGTTTCTTAAGCTTATGCTTTACAATGAAATAAACCTATCAGTAAGGTTTCAAGATTCCTCTAGTCACGTTTGGGAACATTCAAGATTCATAATAGGAACTGTTATTAAACAAACCTTAGCACATAAAGAAGCCCTCCTTGGTAAAAACAAAATAATGTATTCAGCCCTTTTTTAGTAAAATCCATGAGAGAGATGTACTAACTCCAATATAAAAGTCACTCAATATAACAGAGATTTCTCAATTTGAGAATCCAATGAATGCCCTTTTCCTCATAGCCATCTTAAAAGCCTGGTCTGAGCTTTAAATATACATATTTTAATATATTATTTTTTTTCAAATTCAGATGTCAAGGAATCCAGATACAAAATGGTCAAGGTTCTTGTTGACAACCTCATTCAAGGCCAACTCATTGTGAGCCCAGGAAAAAAAATACAAACAGTACAAACAGCAGCTAAGTTTGCAGTTTAGGATAACTTCATTCTAATTTATTGTTACAGTTACAACAAGATTTTAATCAAAAAATCAATTTTATTTGTCTGTAATTAGCCCCTTCACTCCCAAGAGTGCTTGGTTTTCAAATATAACTTAAGATATTGTATTTTATGGAAAAGAATCAACAGATTTTATTCACAATTTGTGTCAAACCAAATTTAATGATTGATTAGAACTATTTTATATGAATAGCTGTAATTGAGGATTAATCCGTATGAAGTTTTCAAGAAAAGAGAAATAAATCAAATTCCATCCTAATATTACCACACATTGATGTTAATAATTAATCAAAAATATTTTACATGCAAGCCTTAAATTAAGCTTCTAAATAACTTTCATTGAATACTTGAATTTTAGCTGGGTTTTTTTTTAATTTAAAGTATTTATTTTATATCATTAGCCTCAAATTTTTGCTTAAAATTCCCAGTAATTCTTAAACATTCCTAAAAATTCCCAAAAATTCCCAGAAATTCCCAGAAATTCCTAGGAATTTTTTAGATTTACAGCTTTTCAGGGAAAGTCATTGGTTCTCTGAGTTGGAATTCCTAGGAATTCCTAGGAATTCCTAGGAATTCCAAGTCCTGTTGGCTATAAACTTGGAATCTCTGGGAATTTCTGGGAATTTCTGGGAATTTCTAGGAATTTCTAGGTTTTTAGAACCAGAGTTGTTATGGTTGGGAATTCCTAGGAATTCCTAGGAATTCCTAGGAATTCCCAGTCCGAATTTACCGTGAAAATTCACACCTTTATTCCTAGGAATAAATTCCTAGGAATTCCTAGGAAAAATCCTAGGAATTCCTAGGAATTCCAAAAAGCCATTCATGCAAGGGTTTACCGAGACTTCTCTCTATCCCTTTTCGTTAATTAAAAGTGAAATTTGGAAACAAGCGAGCCGCCTAGTAGCAACAGAAGAACCAAACAAAGATTTGTAAACATGTCAAGTGCCGTAATTTAAGTTACTATAACGTGAGATAACGAGTTTCTCTGTACGTCTCCTGTTTCTCCCTATGATTCTTTCGTGCTCTAGCGGCTTCCAGCGTACTCTACAACAGAACAGAGCACAGTCAAGGCTTCTCTAGATATATAAGTCGTGTATAAGTCACGCGCAAATGAAAGAGATTCTTTTACCTCTGTCACATCCTGCTTTATGTTTCTGTACTGGATTTACGAATTTCTTTCGTTTGATCGAGGCCTTGCTGTAGGATTCATGCGAGCTCTTCCAAAGTTTTCGAGTTATAATTATTAGCATTTCACGACAGAGTACCTGCATAATTTATGCAAGTTTTTTCTGTGCTTCCCATGTCTCACGCGATAGCGTGCTTCCGGGTTACGTTGACTGTTGTCATTATATTCATGACTACAGGTATAGCTTGTGGCGATGTCATCGAGTTTTCACGAGGAACACGCGATCAAGTGAATTGATTAACACCTCCAGATAAGGTGAGAGGGATCGCTGAATAATTGCTGATACATCATACCTCATGAGGCCTCCTATTCCGCTCGCTGCCGCCACGTATTTCATACTGAATGCGAATCATCGATCGCCAGCGATAAAACTCGTTTAAGCTCCATTTTGTACGAAGTGTCGGCTAGGCAAATAAGCGAAGGAGCATTCAATGAACGAGCGGTTAAAATAAAAGAACGTACTTGAGGATAGATGTATCCAGCATCATAAAGCGTGATATTAAAATTTCAACAGCATGTACTTTGATAGCCTTGGTTGGAAACTTAAGGAGATGTGATCTCATATCTGGGATCTTCCATTACAGACCCTATACCAAGGGTTATAAGATAAGCGAGGAGGCTTGAACGAGTGCTTTACAAAATATAGGACGAAATTAGATGAATCCAGACATTTAATATGTTGCAAATGAAGCAATGCTTCAAGACATGCCTTTGTAAGTACATAGGCTAGCCTTAAACTAATCTTGGGCCACATTTGGAAAGATAGTAAGAGGCACTCTATTTCTCATGATCACTGCTCTTGCTCTGAAATGGAAAACCCCTGGGGTGACATATCGATGAGTAATCAGTTTTATAATGGGTTGGAATGGCATATGAATATGTATTGTATACTAACTGCTTTGTGAAAATAGGTGAATATCATCATGTAAATATGGGTTGAAATATTTGCAGGAGTTTTTTTTGTAGTTTGACATACTTTTCTGATTTTTAGGATCAAATTTTTGTGCTTCAAAGTGAATGAAATTTCTGTTGGGAACAAATTATAACAATTAAAATTTTCTTTTCAAGTAGCAGAACATTGAAAAGGAAGCTACATATAGCTGGAAACAGCACACTCTTGCATTTCATACCGTAGCGTATACACCCACCAGAAAACAGGCTTAGTTAAACCGGATTTAACTGAATGAAAATCAGAAACAGAGAACTGAAATAGGCACCATGACTCAAATTAATACAAGAGTGAACCAAAAAGCAGACAGAAATTAGAGGCTGTTTTGTATCTGTGTAATTTAGATAATTGCTGATACCAGTACAATATGTATATTTTAGTGCACAGATGTTTTGATTTCCACATGCTTATGTAAAGGCACCAAGCCTTAAAATGGACATAGAAATTACACCAGATAACAAACTTGCCACATAAATGTGTAGCAAATATTAATCACAGTTACTTACAAGGCTTAACACTGTTACAGGTTTCACCTCCTTAGTTCCATTTTAATGATATGAGTTGAAGTACAGCTGCACCAACATGTTTTACCCATGTGGGGCTTAGATGAAAGACAGTTACACTGATACTTTGATTAGTTGTCTTTGTGTAATTTGTGCTATTTGTTTATTGACATCTAACAGGACGTGCTGAGGAAATGCAACAGGAGTCCCAAGGCAAAAGGCATTCACCTCGAAAGCGAGGGGCTGGTAATAACTTACTTGTCTATTTTTTAAACATGCCCTAGTGTTATCAACAAACTGCATCCTTTTATATTGGGCAGGTACAAAACATTTTAATAAAATTAAAATACCAATTTTTTTTTGGGACTTTTTTTGAATATCAAGGAACACAATTCCTGGACAATGTAGTATGTCATAGTTATGAAATTTTAAAGTGAATGCTCTTAAATAGGGGTATATCCATTTTCTGACAGACCCTGCTAGGGATCCAGACCAATTTGCATCAAATGCAGATTCTTCTTACATATCTGGAAAGCGACAAAAATGTGACTTACCTTTAAAATGAAGGAACTGTCTTACTTTACATTTGATGATTGCTTTTTCATCTCTTGTTTATCACACTTTCGACACTAAACAGAGTGATCAGCAAACTAATTTATTACTTATACTTTTAAGAGGCAAAATCCATATGATCATGATTTAAATTCACCTGTGAGAACAATACTCCACAGGAATCGTTTGTGGGGTTGACTAAGCAAGGCTTTAAGTTGCAATTGTTTTGGTTGCCATGGCAATTGACACTAGCCAGCTGTAACATTCTTTACAAGAGAAAATGCAATCCTTATGGTCAGCTGTCTAGTTGTGTTTGTGTAATTTTTGCCATTCGTTTATTGACATCTAACAGGATGTGTTGAGGAAATTGATCAGGAGTCCCAAGGCAAAAGGCATTCACCTCAAAAGCGAGGGGCTGGTTTTACTGGTATAACTCACTTGTCTATTTTTTAAACATGCCCTAGTGTTATCAACAAACTGCATCCTTTTTGTACTGAGCAGGTACGAAACATTTTAAAAAAATCAATGTACCAATATTTTTTTTGGACTTTTTTCAAATATAGAGGAACACAATTCCTGGACAATGTAATAATTAATGAAATTAATATACCAATTTTTTTTTTTGGGACTTTTTTTGAATATCAAGGAACACAATTCCTGGACAATGTAATATGTCACAGTCATGAACTTTTAAAGTGAATGCTCTTAAATAGGGGTATTTCCATTTTCTTACAGACCTTGCTAGGGATCCAGACCAGTTTGCATCAAATGCAGCTTCTTCTTACATACCTGGAAAGCGACACAAAGGTGACTTACTTTTAAAATAAAGGAACTGTCTTACTTTACATTTGATGGAAATCTGTGGATTTTATTTCATGTTAATTGTCATCCAGATTGCTTTTACATCTGTTCCAGGGAAATGTTTATCTCACTTTAGACACTTTTGTTACAAGGTGATCAGCAAACTAATTAATTACTTACAATTTTAAGGGGCAAAATCCACATGAAGATGATTTAAATTCACCTGTCAGGGGACACTACTCCACAGGACATATTTGTGGTGTTAGCCAAGCAAGGCTCTAAGTTGCAACTATTCTGGTTGCCATGGCAATCACCAATTTTGGCCATTGATTATCTTGTGTTTGCTGGTCATGCATGGCATGACACTAGCCAGCTGTTACATTATTTAAAATAGAGATAAACAACTTTTCATAATACAATCCTTATTGAAGTACTAGGTTTACAATAGCCACATGGTACTATTATCTCAAAGACATTAAGTGGTATGGTCAGCAGTCTAGTTGCATCCAGTCAGCCATCCAATGGTGGCTCCTAAAAGAGCTGTTTTTTTTGAGTGAGAGCACAATTATGTTACTGTAGGTTTTAATCTTCCATCTTGAACTTGTTGACAATTTCATCTTCTGCTTCATTGTCTCGGGCTTCAGGTATGCTGTCCATCTTATCAGCACAAAGGACATCATCTTCTGTTCCAATCAGTTATACCCCCACTAGCTGTCACACATAAAATTAAATCTAATCAGTTTGATTCAACAAATTATACTTGATAATATGAGGAATGTGTGCATGGATATGTATTTGTATACTTTTAAAATCGACCTCCTCTCGGGATAAATACAAACAATCTAGTCCCAAACTTTGTAGATAAACACAGGCTGTAAAAACCCTAACTGGCAGGAGGCATACAAAGCACAGCCAAGGAGTTGAATTCAGGGAACCATTTAAGAACAATCCAGTGAGTGGCAGGGTGGTGGGCTTGTTCACAGGACCACCAGACTACAAATCCTGTGTCCTAACCACTTGTCTACCCTGTCTCCACAATATCTGATGGAAAATCTTTGGCATGACAAAAAAAAAAAAGCCTTTTCTCTCTCCCCCCTTAAAAAAATTCCCTGGCAATGAATGATTCTAAAATTGTTCCTGAGTCACAATTTTTAAAGCTGTTAATCTTGAAATAATTAACTCTCTATTTGTTTTTATATTCAAGAAGGAGTAGTAAGTAATGATGACCTTCAAACACTTGGCAAAGCTATTGGTGTCAAGTGGGATCGACTGGCACGTCGACTACCTGGAATTACAGAAGATGACATAGAAGAAATTGAAGACAGCCATAGGACTTTGTCTCAAAGGGGATTTCATATGCTGAAACTGTGGAAAACAAACAATGGGGAAGCTGCAGACTATAAGACTTTACATGATGCATTAGTCCACAGTATGGTACAGCGGAAAGACTTAGCACAAAAGTATTGTTTTGAATAATAATATCTCTTTGATATTACTTATACAAAAACCTGGCAGTTAGTTTAAATAGACAGCCACTGGGTGGAAAGTAGAGAGCTAGTTAGCAATAAATTCCAGGTGGCTATGAGTTGTGAGAATCTAATGATGAATTTATCCTTGATTTACACTCTTTTATCGATAGTCTTTTTAACATTGTATAACATGTGTTTAGTTAATATTGTACACGCATTTGATTGCATCTATTGAAGGAAAGACGCATAGACGGTGGAAAATGTTGAAGCTTTAGAATGATCATATGTCAGCTCAAGAGAGAAGTTCTTTAAAGTAAAGCTGGAGTATTTTAGATAAACTCGATTATATATACTCGACTATATATACTGTCTTAAAAAATAAAATAAGTGCTTGTTTGGAGCAATTAGGTTAGTGATGATGTGAGCATTTTGTAATGAATTGGGAACGCAACATATGCAGTCGTTCGTCGTTGGTAATCACAATTTTAAATTGTTTTTGTACAAATCGAGAATGACGATATTTTTATTTTGCCATGGTAGTATTATAGTTAACTAGTGTTTGCTTAGCAGCTGTCTTTTATGCAATGTAATGGAATATTTAGCTCGATTATCAAATACATGGAGTGTATTCACTTTGAACGTTTAAGGTGTGGTGTTTCAAAACATGTTTATGCACCTTACTTACCGTGTGATAGACGAACGCAATATTCACCGTATCACGTCTGATCTAGAAAAAATTCACTTCGTATCCAAGCCTCCTCCGCGGCAGTGTACCCTCAGCTTTTGGAAAATCGGTACACCAGCAAATTTGATCACCTGGTTTAACATACTTTTCAGCTCAACTCTTTTTATTACCATGGATTTGACCACTCTTTGACTTAAGATTTTCGCCCCAGAACTTACTTTTTTTGTGAAATTTATTTAAAATAAAGCTCGGATATAACGCGCGCTGTCATTGGTTGAAAGAGCGTGCTCTATTAGAGTACAAAACATAGAGCTGAGCTTTCACGCCATTTGCCGAGTTGTATTATGTCCGACCTTTTCCGGGACTCCTCTCTAGCTATTTTTATTGTCAGTTGAAAGGGAAATTTCGAAACAAGCGAGACGGCAAGTAGCAACAGAAGAACCGAACAAAGATTTGTAAACATGCCAAGTGCCGTAATTTACCTTCTTATAAAGTGAGCAGAGACGAAAATCCTCATAGATCCTCATAGAGATAACGAATTACACTATCCGAGTTTTGACGGTTTTCACGCTCAGTTAGATTGCAAGATTACGAACGTACTTGAGAAGTGGGGAGAAACACTCTACTACGTCTCGTGTTTCTCCCTACGGAGCTCCGTACGTCTTGTGTACCTCCCTACAATTATCTCGTGCTCTAGCCGCTCTTCATGTGCTTTGCAACGGAACAGCATAGTCCTATTAGGAGACCAGTCGTTTTTTCTTATCTCCTGGGTGGAGTGGGTGAAAGATATGAGAGGGATCACATGATTATCAGGGGGAACAGAGCGGGGATCAGTCGTCGCCAACAGATTACAAAGGAGAACTATAAAAATTGAACTTCAATTAACTGCTAATGAGGGAAATTAAAAGAATATTGTCGAGCCTTATGGGGGATCAGGCAAATTTTACCGTCACACAGCTAAAATCCTCCGGCCCCTCCCATAAGCGAATAAATAACCGATCACTGGGGATGCATCGTGTAAGTGCGGGGGGGGAAGGGCAGGCTTACAAGCTGCATGGACGAATATCTACCACTAGTAAATATTTGAAATGCGGTGACATGTATACTCTTCAATGAGCTAACTAGGTAGAGCTTTAGAGCGCGAGATATTACAGCGTGACTAGTGGCAGCTCGAGTCCTCTCAGCGGGAACTCATCAGATTTTTCCTTGTCACGCGCAGACGAGAGAAGTTCTTTTACCTCTGTCAAATCCTGCTTTATGTTGCTGTACTGGATTTAGGAATTTCTTTCGTTTGACCGAGGCCCTGCCGTGGGGTTTATGCGAGCTGGCCCAAGTTTTTGAGTTAAATTAGCATTTCACAACAGAAAACCTGCATAATTTATGCAAGTTTTTTCCCGCGCTACCCATGTCTCATGGGATAGCGTGCTTCAGGTTAGTTAGTTTTACTGTTGCCATCCATGATCTCAAGACCTCATTTTGGCGATGTTATCGAATTTTCAAGAGGAACGCGCGATCAAGTGAATTGCTTTATACCTCCAGATAAGGTGAGAGGGATCGCTGAACAATCTCTATAAATTGTGACATACTTTATAGCCACCTATTTGGCTCGCTCGCTTTTGTACAAGGTATCGGCTAAGCGAATAGGCGTAGGAGCATTCAGTGTACAAGAGTTTAAAATAAAAGAAGGTACTTAAGGATAAATCCATCCAGCATCGTAAAGAGTGATATTAAAATTTCAACAGCATGTAGTTTGATGCCTTGGTTGGAAACTTCCATCACAGATCCTATACCAAGGGTTATGAGATAAGCGAGGAGGCTTGAACGAGCGCTTTACAAAATGTCGGACGAAATTAGTTGGATCCGAACATTTTTTATGTTGCAAATGAAGCAATGCATTAAGGCATGCTTTTGTATGTACATAGGCTAGCCTAACTAATCTTGCGCCACATTTGGAAAGCTGATATTTTACTTGGCACTGCTCTTGTTCTGAAATGGAAAATCCCAAGGTGATATATCAATAACAAATAAGTTTTGTGATGGATTGGAATGGTGCTCGTATACAAAATTGCCGATCAGTAATATGTATTGTATACTGTTTTGTGAAAATAGGTGAATATCATCTTGTCAATATGAGTTGAAAAATCGGTAGGAGTGTTATTTTGTGGTTTGGCATACTTTTCTGATTTTAGGATCGATTTTTTATTCTTCAAAGTGAGTGAAATTTCTGCAGGGAACAAATGATAATAATTATAATTTTCTTTTCAAATAGCATAACATTGACAAGGAAGGTACATATAGCTGGAAACAGCACACTCTTGCATGATATACCTCAGCCTATTGACACACTAGAAAACATATTTAGTTAAACCAGGTTTAACTGAAAGAAAATCAGAAACAGGCTCGAACAGTATCTCGTACGGGCCTGAATTTTTTTTCAGGCTTTATTTCAATTACTAGTTCAGCGGTGTTCATAATAGTCCATTTTACAGTTGTGTGCTTGGTTGCCAAGCCTTTGAACAGGAGTGAGGCTAAGGGTGACCTTGTTATGATACAAACCTTGCTGCTTTTGAAATGCAAATTAATTTGTTATCATGCTAACTAGATTCTGGTCTCTAACACAACAAGGTCACCTTCAGCCTCACTCCAAATCAAAGGCTTGGCAACTAAGTACACAACTGTAAAATGGCCTATTGCGAGGATCGCTTCTATATTCATTTCTTCAACCGCAGTGCTCATATATGATTTTCATATATTTACAGTCATTGTAAAAGTACATTTGTCGCATTTTGAGTTAATGAACTTTTTCTGTGGGAACTAATACATATGGATCAAGGGCAATCATACAATTCTGAAATCATTTGTAAACATTTTACAGAACATTATCTGAATAAAGCAAGCTGCCGTCATGAAGATAACCTTTTTGACTGAGGAATGGACTCAATCGACCAAAGGCAGTTGTTCCACCTTCATGAGACAGATGGCCATAGAACTCTCTAGACAACCAAATACAGAAATTGGTGTTTTGATTCCAAGTGCTAGTCCGAAGGACAAAGTAGATGCTAAAAAATATAACATCAAGGTTTTTGAACCTGCAGCTGAAGATTGTATAGGCTATGAACCAGTTGATTGTCTGCAGTTTCCTCCACAAGGATTTAGTACTGACTTTATCATTGGTCAGGGCATTAAGCCTGGACGTCATGGACAGGCCCTTAAGAATAAACTTAGCTGTAAATGGGTGCATGTGGTCCTGAAAATGCAGAAGAAATGGCAATGTTCAAGAAAACCCCAGGTGCCATTTCCAAAGGGCAGAAACAGCATGAAACTGAGATCAAATTGTGTAAAAAAACGCTGATGTGGTTTTAACAGTTGGCTCTAAGCTCAATGAGGCCTTTAATTCTGCTCTGCATCAGTGTAAGAAAGATCATATATTCAGTCTTATACCTGGCATTTTTGATGAGTTTTTTGGAGAGCAGAAGCAATACCGAAATTCAAAGAACTTTGAAATCTTAGTGTTTGGCAGAGGGAACACTGAAGACTTTGAACTTAAAGGTCTTCATGTTGCTGCCAAAGCTGTGGCACATCTTAATAAGTATGAGCCATCATACATTCTCAAAGTTGTTGGTGCCCTGAGGAGAACAAGAGAAACTGGCTGAGAGGTTGGAAGATCTTGGGATCTCTCGTAGTAAACTAACTGTGAGAAGTTTTTACACAGAAAGAGGAAAACTGGCTCAGCTATTTTTGGAAGTGGATCTTGTTTTGATGCCTTCAGGTACAGAGGCATTTGGTCTTGCAGCTTTGGAGGCATTATCAGCAGGTGTACCAATCCTTATTACCCATAATTCTGGCTTGGCAGAGGCTCTAAAGGAAGTACCTTTTGGGCGTGGATGCATAGTACATCAAGAAGCTGACTGGGCTGAAAAAATCAAACAAGCACGAAAAAATCTGAAAACTGGATTAGAAGAGGCAAGCATGCTACGCGACAAATATAAAGAGAAATACTGTTGGCGGGACCAATGTGCTGCTTTTGTGAAGAAGCTTAGGGCCTTGCATTCAGGTTGAAATATTAATTTTATACCCCTTTACCTTATTTGAAATAATTCAGATTAAGTATCTAGTAGCCGATTGGCACAAATCTGCTATCATTTTGAAATAGGCACCATGACTTGAATTAGTATAAGAGTAGCATTAAAAAGTACATAGAAATTAGTGGCTGTTTTGTATCTGTGAAATTTAGATCATTGCTAGTTTCAGTACAATATGTATGTTTTAGTGCAAAGATGTTTGATTTTTGTGTGCTCAAAGGCACCAATCCTTAAAAATGGACATAGAAGTTACACCAGATAACAATTAAGCTTGCCACAAAAAAAAAATATCCAACAAGCATTAATCACAGTTACTTACAAGGCTTAACACCATTACAGGTTTCACCTCTTTAGTTCCATTGTAATGATATGAGTTGAAATACACCTGCAATAGCATGTTTTACTCATGTGAGGATTATGTACTTTATAAATGAATTACAGTCTGATACTTTGATAATAGAGGAGCTCGCAGAGCATAGCCCCATAATTATACAAAATAGTAGTAACCCATCAAGCCGAAAAAATTGGGTGTACGACCGTACAACCATACAAGGTGCTACTTTTAACATGCCTGGTCAACTGTACTGCAGGCACACCAACACAACAGCTTTGTCCAGTTGTCCAATGGTCAGTGCACTGGGCTCCGAGTTGGACGACCCGGGTTATAGTCCTGGCTAGGGCAAGGCCTTGTGCTCTTGAGATGTGCAGGAAAAAAAAAAGTGAGCTCCTCTTTTAGACTTGGTTAAATCTATATATTAGTTGTCTTTGTGTAATTTGTGCTTTTCCTTTGTGACACCTAACAGGACATGCTGAGGAAATGCAACAGGAGTCCCAATACAAAAGGCATTCAGCTCAAAAGCGAGTGGCTGGTA